TCAAATCTCCTTTATTATTTCTTTATTCTCTCTCCTCTTTGACCTTTACTCTCCCACAACTCTCCCACATTATTATTTCTTTTCAAGTAAACACAATTTCCGTAGAAATTGGCATAGGCCTTAGATACCTCTCTTTTCTTTTTAATATTTTTTTTATCAGTTTATACCCTCTCCCAACTCAGGTTCTCATTTGTAAGTTAATTTAACAATTAGTGAACAAACTTGTAACAATACAATTTTCGTAGAAATTGGCATAGATCTTAGATATATCTTTTCTCTCTTAATATTTTCTTTATCAGTTTATACTCTCTTCCAATCCAAATTCTCATTTGTAAGCTAATTTAATGATTAGTAAACAAACTTGTAACACTACATTATTAAACAATATATATCAATAACTCTGATATATATCAATATATATCAAATATTGTTTCAATATGTATTGACAATTCTGATATATATTAATATATAACTAATGATAAATATTGATACAAATCTTCCCAAAAAATTTTCTGATGTATATAAGTAAAAAATAAAAGTAAAATATCATAAAAGTGAAATAATAAAAGTGAAAAATAAAAAGTAAAATAATAAAAAGTGAAATAATATATAAAAATAAAAAATAAAAAGTGAAATATCGTAAAAGTGAAATAATAAAAGTGAAAAATAAAAAGTGAAATAATACTAAAGAATTTTATTATTATATGAATATTTTTAGAATTTTCATGTTTTTCAATTATTTTTGAATTTGTGATTTTTATATTACTATTGTAATAGTAATATAGAACAAATAATAATGTAAAGAAATTATGAAATTAGAGAATTTAGAGTTATTATGACAATAATACTCCTTCCATAATTAGTTTCTTGTGCAATTTATATGTACATTGAAAGTCCAATTCAAAAATATTTTATCATAAATAGACATTATGTACTTTTTTTCCTATATTATAATATTCTATCATTCTTCAAAGATTAACACACGTAATGATAGTGATTACTGAAAGAATAACAATTATCACGAATCCTGGACAATTGAGAAACATCGAACAATAATTAACACATGTAACAATAGTGATTATCAAAAGGAAAAATAATTATCTCGACAATTGTCTGGACAATTGAAAGATGTTAAACAGTTATTACTTGGTCGTTTCAAGAGAAACCATTAATGTAAATTACTAACCTTAGAATTAGCACAGGATTAGCATAGTAATTCGGAATTGTATATAGAAGCATCTTTGAGTCTCTGAGAAGACATGCTTTAATCTAATAAAATAACAAAGTCCTTACTTCTAATAATATTACTACTTGTGAATACACTATTATTTTATTTTTCTTGATCAAACTTCAAACCTTGTGAGTGATTACAAGTAGTGGATGCTCCTCCAATCTAAATAAGCCGTCGATTTCTTTGAATTGTTATTTTGGACAGGCCGTATCAATAAGTCCTGTCGAATTGATTTTGTTTTCTTTGTACAGATCGCATCAATGAGTCCTGTTGAATTAGTTTAGTTTTTCTTAGATAGGCCGTATCAATAAGACCCGTCATATTTATAAACGTTTTTGATTATTGAATAAACACGATTTATAACAATTTAATTCTTATTATAAAAGCGATTCCATTTTATTCCTCTTTCAAAACGCCCCCTATTATTGCAGAAAAGTCGATTTGTGTACAAATCGTCATGGGAATCTTGAGAACCAAAGAGACCCTTTAACCGTAAATGATTCAATCTAACTCTCAACCTTCGTTGCGAAAAGTCCCTTGATCAATTGTTTGTTATAGCAAACATAACAATCTGGTGCTCCCGTCCCAACCGTCACGAAATAAACCCCTTTTGCTAAATATCGAAGGAAACGCAACAAAAGATGAAACAAGAATTTCGTGGGGAATATTTCTCTAACTTATAAGAATTCCTGTAATGCGGCTAAACTTTCCATCTTTAAAGACCATTTAAAGCTATTGCTACATCCTAATTTTTATGTACATGTACATGTTCATATCGATATCGATATACGATATACTTTTCAGGTAATTGAAATTAAGTCAGCTCGTTGTTTGTTTCATTATTGGTGGAAAACGTTTCAGGATTCTTTTGATATTTTTCAAGACGCATTTTACTTGCATTTTTAATTCAAATCGGCGTTTGTATATGTGTAGATACTAAATATTTTGAAGCTAAATTTAGACATATTAATATTAAGTCCAAACGAAGTTTATGAAGTCAAATTTTACATATTAACTAAAAAAACATTTATTATTAACTTGAATATTCAACGAACTCAACGAAATATAAGATGCAGGTAAAACTACAATTGATTTCTTCGTAAAGCTAATAATACGTGTAATTAATGTAAATAAAAATTTCGTAACTTTGTAATTATATGTACATGTATAACGCGTGGAAGTCAAATGATATTTAAACAAGCATTTCCTAATTTTTCCCCAGGTTTCTGATTGGTGCAAGTAATTTCCATCGCTGATTGGTCGACTGCACACCGGGTTTTCTAAAATTAAAAAGGCGAATAATGTGAAAAATACGGAAACGAATGGGTAAACCTGGCTAGAAGCACTAATAAAATATTTCGGGAAGACAATTTTATATATAGCCTTTATTTACTCCAGCTCTAACCCTAACCCTAATGATGAAATTAACCTTTAATATCCTCAACCAATCAGAAACCTGGGGGAAAATTAGTAAATGCATTTAAACAATCTAAAGAGGAAATGTTTAGTCCCCAAATCTAAAAATCGGGTTGATCGATCGTCATATATATGTACCATACATAGTTTTTTTTTTTACATAGCCAATCGTGCATCCAAGTAGTACATGTATTATCCCACATTTTTTATAACAAACAAAAAAACTATAAATAGCTCTGCAATTCATTATTCACAAATCCATCCATCAAAATGTAACTACCTCTTTTCTTTATTATCGTGAACTGTTCTTTAGGTTCACGATAAAAAAATAAATGGAGTGTGGTGAGTTTACTTAACTCACTGGGATTAAGTAGGGTGGTGGGGCCCTGCTCTTGAGAATTATTAGCGCATGTGTGTGAGATAGGGATCGATTCTGAGAATCAATTAGTTTTGATTATCGCGTTTGCAAAAAGGTGTATGTTGAGAACAAAGAATCAAATTTGAGAATCTGCGTAATAATTACGTAAGCAATTAATCCCACTTTTCGATCAATGTAAAAATTAACATATTTTTCAATCAATATAAAAACTATTATTACATATTTGTTTTTCCCGATAAATATATTTGTTTATCTTTCTTTACCAAACTTTCACTAATATAAAGAAGATTCGCAATTTGTAATATAGTATAGCCGTCACATTATACGTCATTCAAGTCATCACTATGCAAGAGATATTGGGGTGTGTGATATTCTATATAGATCAAATACTCGACATACATTAAAATTATACTTCTTATATTATCTTGAAAAGTTATAAGCTTTTAAATTTTGTAGATATTTTTAAAATTATTTATAAAACTCAACATCGATTAAACTATACTCTTTGTATTAAAGTTTAATATTATTTCAAGAATATCTTTATTTCTTGAAAAGCTATAAGTTTTTAAAATCTATACATGTATAATAATTTTTATTATTAATATTTATTTATTAATTTGATCTACATAAAATATCTCACACTCCAAGGAGACATGCTAACAAGAAAATCTTTCGAAATAAAAGAAAAACAACTTTGGCTTTCCAATGGTATTTAATAACTATTTACATGTATTAACGTTAGGAAATCTGAAATCGGGGAGTTTGTACAGTAGCAATCAAAAAAATAATACAACGGCAAAAAATTATAAATAAACCATAGTAAAAATGAGAAAAACCCGCATTTTTTGTATTTCTACTGGGTTTTATTAATAATTTTTTGCCGTTGCATTATTTTTGATTGCTACTGTAGATTTTCCGTGACAGCAAATAGCGATAACGATAATATCTGAGAATCGATTTTAAAGTTAAAATCGATTAATAATGCATAACGATAAATCGCGTAATAAAAATTATCAAAAATAAATAAATAATTGGAGAATTATGATTTTCACTTGTGAAAAACATGGCACGTCAACTACTTTGTCATTCAAAAAAAAAATGTCAATATAACTCTGATAGTGATACTAACGCTAAAAGTAACAATATTGATCCAAACTTGAATGAAACAGATACACTTATCGTTGAGAATCTTAATCACGTGTCTAAATCTTCAGACTATCGAATATTGTTCATGAAT